TATAATATTAATATTATTATATATACATTATATAATATAATAAAATAATAATAAATTATTAATATTATAATATAATAAAATATAAATATTATAATAATAAATAAATAATAAAATAATATAGTAATAATAAGTTATTAACATTATGATATAATATAATATTAACATTATAACTATAACAATAAATTATTAATAATAATAATAAATAAATAATAATATAATATAATAACAAAATTTAGTATATTATAGTAATAATATAATATAATAACAAAATTTAGTATATTATAGTAATAATATAATATAATATATTATAATAATGATTATAATACAATAATTACACAATAATAATAAAATAAATAAATAAATATATACATACGTATGTTATTTATAAATGCAAATAATGAAAATTAATACAATACAACATGTACAATTTAATTTAATACGCAATGCATAATTAATTTATACATAACATATAAATATATATGAAATATACTGAAATACATCAGAAAATATATCGTACGAAAGTATACATCATAAGATATATCATAAGAAAGTATATCAAATAAAGTATATCAGATATTATCATAAAATATGTCAAAGAAAATATATCATAAAAATATGAAGAATGCGAAATATAAAAAGAAAATGAGAGAAACGCTCGTTTCTTTAAACGTTTTTACGAAAGTAAATGCAAAAAACGAATCCGTATACTGGACTCCATATACTACTCTACACACATTATTGCCCTCTGTCTCTCTTCATCGCTAAATACATACACGAAATCGCGAAATTTTCCAATCTTCCTTCTCCCTTTCCTTTTTTCTTTTTTTCTCTTTGCCTCCTTTTCCTCTCTTCTCGTTCATCGCAATATAGTCGGCGAGAGATAATTTTCCGGTTTTCGCGAGGGAGAACGCATGGCGGACGACTAGCGGAAGCTATGGACAGAAAGTCCGCGCGACGGAAGGGGAAAAGCCAACCCCGTTTCCACCTATTTCTCTCTGACAAATACGACTGAGTTTCCCAAGACTGCACAATTTCCCGCGTGTCTTCCTTCGATTTTCTGCCACACCAGCCCCCACCCCGGGCCATTCACCTTTCTCACCCTTCACTTCCTGCCCATTCTTCTACTTCTTTCTCGAAACTAACACCCACCGCAATTAACGTCGCCGTGTGTTCACTTGACTCGTCGTTTCCCAATCGCTCTGAGAGCAGTTTACCCGCGTCGCGAATATAAGTCGGTCGATTCACTTTCTCTTCCGGTTCTTTTCGAAAAACGAACACTCGGAATGCTACACAGACGATGGAAAATTGAAAAATTAAATTGGCTGCGCGACGTCGGAACATTGGACACGCGTATGTCTCATCGTGTGCGACGACTCTTTTTATCAGTTTGCTAGGTGACGATCATCTGTTAAACGTGATTCTTGTGCATAATGAGATTGATTAAATTGGTAGAATATTTATTAATATAATAATTGATATGATAAATATTTATTAATATAATAATTGATATAATAAATATTTATTAATATAACAATAATTAATATAATAAATATTTACTAATATGATAGAAATTAATATAATTAATATTTATTAATATTTATTAATATTATAGTAATTGATATAATAAATATTTATTAATACGATAATAAATAATATAATAAATATTTATTAAAATGATAGTAATTGATATAATAAATATTTATTAATATGATAGTAATTGATATAACAAATATTTATTAATATAATAATATTATAATTGTGCTGATGATATCGTTGATATTGAATATGAAACTTGTAAAATCTATATAACTGTATTACTGTTATATAAATACTACTAATGTTATTAGCAACAGTTTCAGAATTTAATATTTAGTTTAATACAATTTTTTGTTTAGTT